GCCCCCGGAGAGGAGCTTTTTTTAATTTTCTTTTAAGCAGTCGCTGTTTTGCTTTTAACACTCAAAAACTAATTGTTCAAGTCCCGACGTATGAGTTTTTTAAATTTTCTTTTTAACATCCGCTGTTTTGCTTTTTTTTATCAGATGTGTTTTCTTCTTTAAGTGGTCTCGTACCAATTTCATCAACTTGGGTAATATCATTTCAACAACTTCTACCTCAATAACGGCAGTAAAACCTTCGTCAGCTGAAATGTCAGCTTTTTTTAAAAGCACTTGTTTATTTTCACTTCACCGGTAAAAATACTCACATAGTGCACATAGTCACAGAACAGTCTGTTAACGTTCCAGAGACTGACAAGGGTGATCAAAGGTGTCAAATCGACCGGCACTGAAAACATAACCCTTTTGACGAAGGTAACCGAGTCAGCTGTTCTATTTACAGCGGTATCCAAGATGAGATTGGGGAAGTATGAAGTCGGGAGGTTGCTGGGAGAAGGGGCATTTGGCAAGGTCTACAAAGGCAAGGACGTCAACACCGGGGGCGTTGTGGCCATCAAGCGGTTGAAAATCGAGAATGTCAGACAGCTAGAAAGTGCTAAAAACGAACTGATACCATTGCTTGCACTGTTCAATAAGTCTCATCAACACATTGTTAAATGCTTTCAGACTGAACTTATGCATGGTAGTCTGTGGTTGGTATTGGAGTATTGTTCAGTGGGAACGCTGAATGATTTCCTGTTGAGCAAGCCTGGCATGTCAGTCTCCGCGAAAATTGGCCTAATGCGAGAAATAGCAGACGCAGTTAACTTTCTGCACTCAAACCACATCGTCCACAGAGATCTCAAGCCAGACAACATACTGCTTAGTGGCAGCCGTGACAACCCAGTAGTGAAGGTAGCTGATTTTGGATTGGCTAAGGTTTGCGGGGTTGTGGGTTCCTTGTCAGAATACTACATGAACTCTCACTGTGGAACCGAGCTCTTTTTGGCACCTGAAGTGTTCACAGCACAGGACTACAAAATGTACTGTGACATATTCTCGATGGGCGTGATTTTTGTGTCCATGATTGACATGCAGCAAGTGGGAAAGACAGTAGTTGCATACATTAAGGGCAGAATGGGTGCCGTAGTCCCCATCGGTAGAGCACTGCTTAACAATCCTCCTCCCAATCTCTCTGCTCATTTCCTGACCAGTTTGAATGATGGGTCGTTCAAAAAACTTTGTCTCTCTATGCTAAGTGCCAACTATCGCAACAGACCCAAAGCAGTCGATTTACTCGCATGCTTGAATCTTATTGGACACTCTTCCCAACGGCCCACGTCTGGTAGGCCGGATAGTGGCCAAAGGAACAGACGGCGGATGGTCAGTCCAGTAGCCATGATGGGCGGCGCAGGTGTTGGGGGTTTGGTTGGGGGGCCTGTTGGGGCTATGGGTATGCCTGTTGGGGCTGTGGGCGTGGTTGGGGCGCCTGGCGCTATGATTGGAGGGCCTGTTGGGGCTATGGGTATGGCTGGTGCACCTGTGGGGGCTATGGGTATGGTTGGGGCACCTGCCGTTGGGGCTGTGGGTTTGGTTGGGGCGCCTGTTGGGGCTGTGGGCATGATTGGCCCTGGGGCTGTTGTAAATGGGGGTATGATTGGGGGGCCTGCTGGCGCTATGGTAAATGGGGGTTGGGTGATGGGGATGTGGCCTTGATTAGATAAAGAGCTTGTTGATGTCCGAGCACTGTGACGTTTTTTATGGTCTTTTATAGACAGTGAGTTGGCTCGATCTGTGTTGATTTAATCCTTGGAAACCCAGACTTCGGGGCTATGCTTGCATAGGGGAGAAGATCACACAGCTCAATCCAATGGAAAAGTTAGCTCTGATGTTACTAGTAGTTAACACTGACTGTGTTATTTGAATGTAAATGTGCATCATTGGACGGCGATCTTTGGTGCACTGATGGAACTTGATGTGACTGTATCAACAGATAAACTTTGTCAGACCAAGGAGGTTGGTCAGACTTAACGAGACTTAATGCGCTGTGCAAGATAGATGACTTATTTGCCTATGTTATAATAAGTGTACAAAATCTTTCTTTGAATTTCTAGTTTGTAACTTGCTTTGGAAACAGCTCTAGGGTGTGCCAGGATTTTGAATGTAAATTTTGATCAGTCAACATTTCATGGGGTAAACCTAAGGCCGCCGCATGAATATGTGGATTACTGATGCTACATTAGCAGGTCTATTTACCTTTGATTTGATTCACCGTTTTCTTTTGCCGGTATGTCATCATCGGTAGTAAGTTTCGACCCTCTAAGGCGAAATTCTGAGGAATATGTGCCTGCCACGCATTGATGATACTCGTATGTAACGTTAAGTTGATGTGTATTGTATTTGTCATAGAATGTATATTGGTTTCCTAATGTAAATTCTATCAGCAGATTAATTTTTACTCGAGAAGTGAACATTATGAATGTTGTGCGCGATATTGGATTCCATTACTATGATTAGAAGTAATCTTAGCAGAGATTTATTTTATTATGCACCGTTCTGTACCTGAGGATCACTGACAATGTATTTGCTGTCCACGTTGTAAATATTCACTATTGAAGGCTGAATCACAAAGATTACAATAAACTATAAAAGTGTTGATTTCGTGAATGATTGAATTTACACATCTTATTTCATTAACGTTTTGCGTTAATTCCGTTGCCTCTCGGTATAAACTTACAACATTCACCGTTCTGATCAACCTAGCTTCGGTTGCAGAATAAAGTTTTGCTGGGTTAAAATTCACTTGTATTCCTCGTCTATTGTGTCTGAATGAGTTTGTGCATGTGGTTTTTGAAAAGATTGTTACCCTGTTTAGAGATGAGATTCTTTATTGACACAACAAAAAAAAGCCAGGGACTTTTGTATGGTCTTCTACAACTAAAGATCTAACAAATCTAAATACATGTGTGGATAAGGTCATCTTACGTACAGAGTATATGTATCATGTAACAATAAAGGTTTAACTATTCTCTAACATGTGGTCTCTAAGCAAAGCAAGATCGAAACATTCTTTAATGTATTTTCCTATTTGAACACTGTATTGGTTATCTCCCCTGGGAATGTAGATGACCAAAGATGCTCAAAAATGCCTCGCTACTAGACAGCAGGAATCACCTTCAACCTGAAAAAAATGTTATGGGACCCAGCTTTGACTCCCTGCTTTCCGAGCACAACAGTTTGCCAGCCAAGAATCGTGGTCATAGCAATTTCAAAACCATGAAGATAATTGAACACAGGAAGTTCCGCTGCAGTATAAAGAAAGCCGCTAGGACGACCCATATCTAACCTTTTTTCCATCGGTCAATATCTAGCCAAAGTTTGAATGTCATTTAAAAAATCCATCCTTTTATAGCTTCTTGACTTGAAAAAAAAAACCATACCAAATCTCACCAATTGTTGTAAACCTGTACATGGAGAAGTTTGAAAACAAAGCCCTCAGCACTTTCAATGACACTCCCCCGGCCAACTGGTTTCGATATGTAGATGGCACTTGGTGCAGATTGAAAAAGAGGGTAGCTGCTGACTTCTTTGACCACATCAACCAGATAGATGACAACATCAAGTTCACACAGGAGCCAAGCCATGACAACATGCTCCCTTTCCTAGACACCAAAACTATCGTAGAGGAAGATGGTAACCTTTGTTTCGAAGTGTACAGGAAACCAACCCACACTGATCAGTACCTGGCTTTTGATTCCCACCACCCTTTGGAACACAAACTAGCAGTGATCAAAACTCTCTTCCATCGTGCAGACAACATTGTCACTTCAGACCAAGCCAAAACGGACGAACAAAGACACCTCCGAGGTGCCCTGGCTAAATGTGGCTACCAAAACTGGACTTTCAACAAAGCGCTCAAACCTTCAGATCAGTCTAAGACTTGAAACCCAGAAGTGCAAACCATTGACCAACAAAAACAAGGCCAACATCACTATTCCGTATGTCCAAGGAGTATCTGAGAAACTCCGACGGATCTTCCAAAACTTCAACATAGCCACTAACTTCAAACCTCACTCAACCCTCAGACAAAGCTGGTACACCCTAAGGACCGACCTCACAAGGGTACCAAGGCGAATGTTATTTACAGACTCAAATGTGAGGAGCCCAATTGTAAGAACACCTACATCGGAGAGACAAGTCGACCGCTTAAAGTAAGGTACAAAGAACATTGCCGACCTAGTGCCAACGGCTACTCCTCAGCTATTTTCCACCACCTACAACACAACCAGGGTCACTCTTCATGCCCGTAGCCGAGGGGGGGTTCGGGGGGTTCGGAAGAACCCCCCCACAAGGCTCAAAGGTCCACTTTTTGGTCCACTTTTTATGTAAAGGTCCACTTTTTGGTCCACATTTTATGTAAAGGTCCACTTTTTGGTCCATATTTTATGTAAAGGTCCAAGACTTTTCTTGAAAAGATGGACTGGAATCGTAGAAAAACTGCTCCCTTTGTCATTGAATAAAAATTTATCTCTGATTTTTTCTTGGAAATCCTCTCAAAAATGCACGAAATGCCATTTTAGAAGGTTCATTTTTCAAAATGGACCTTCCTTTCTCCGGACCCCCCTAGGAACCTCGCGCCTTCGGCGCTCGCCTCGCGCCTACGGCGCTCGAGGTCCCCTCAAGCAGTGGGAAGAACCCCCCCATTCAAAATCCTGGCTACGGGCATGCTCTTTCAAACTCGAGTCCACGGATGTCTTAGACCGCGAAACACGCTGGTGGGAACGGGGTGTTAAAGAGGCAATATATGAAAGAATGTACAACCCCACCCTCAACAGGGAAGGGGGGCTACAGGTCGATCTTTCCGGCACTTGGGATTTGGCACTCCCAGCCCCGAGGACAGACAACACTTAAGCTCCTGTCCTGTATAACAGGAGTTTTCAGACTAATTTGCATCATCTTGTCTTGACTTGTCTGACTTTTGTTCCTTTTTCGACGTCCAAAAATTTGTCTTCACTTTATTTGCATATCAATCAACAGGTTGTGTATACAAACCTGCTTTCCCCTCTGGTCTCTCAGTCACTGACGAAAGCTAGTGGATACTAGCTGAAACGTCTGACGTTTTCAAAATCATATCCAGTGGCTTGAGTAACTGTTTTTTGGCATACCAAATCCATCAGTCGACGCGAAAGATATCGTGCCAAATATGTAGCTAGTTTCTGTCTCGCGAACAGAAGAATCGTCTGCCGACAAATCGTCTGCTCGTTTTCCATCGGAATTCTTCCGCGGCATTCTGCACATAACGACATCATGGCGGCCCAACCCCTTCCCCCTGGCTGGGAGGCCAAATATGACGCCGGAACAGGACGATAGTAAGTCACTTTTAGGACAAACTTTCAATCTTAGAGCTCCTGAAGATATGGTGGTACCTAATGGTTTATGATAGCAGGCTTTCTATGCCTGTATTTGTGTTTAAAAACATGTTTGTTTGCCACACCCCGTCTCTCTTGACACCCTGTCGTCTGCATATAAATGCGTTGTTGATGACCTCTCGGTCGCTATTTCTCTAGCACTGTAGAATATAATTTGTAGTTTTTGAGACTTGAAGTCGGACGGCACACGGCCTGGTGGATCGTATATCAAGACCGACAAGCTACGTGGAATGATGTTCTCTTGGCAACAACAACAAAGTACTAGTATCTGAGCGGTCTGCCTATTTACCGGAATACACCGGAAAACAGAGTTAAACACCGGAAAACACCGGAAAACACATATAGGAGGCTAAAATCTACCGGAATACACCCTGATATGATGAGATAACATACCGAATTGCTGTATTTTGACATGAAGTAACGTGTATATCGCCGCAGGAACCCGGCAAGAAGAAATCATTATAATTTAGCGATCGGTGGAGGCGACCCGACCAGTCGCCATGTTTGTTTACATTGCGGACTACGATGTTTGTTTAGTGCCATCACAGAAGAGAATTGATTATTCAGATTGATGCTGTTCCCATACACAGTGCACACAACTCCGAACTAGTTGGAAGAAAGATAGTTGCATAGGATGCCCGTGAATGATTGCTACGAGGTCGGTCTGTTGGATAAAAGCGCAAAAATCCGACGATAAAACTGCCAGACATTTTCCGGAAATGACCCGCACAGAGCGAGTGCGTGCGTCAGCGAGCGGCGGCATTTGATAATTTCCTGCAAAGCTTGACACTGAAATTTCATCTGATTTTGCCGAGGACAGCCCTGAAGTT